GCTGCTCGGTCCGAAGGGAGCTGGGTCGGCGGTGGTTCGGTGGTTCAACCGGCGGGGCTGTTTCCGGCGAGAAATGGACCGGTCCAGCAGCTGGAAATGAAGAAGCCGAAGGAAGAAGAACAAGAAGCAGAAGCAGTGAAGCAGTGGGGGGGGGGGGGGGGGGGCAAAAGCAGCGAAGCAAGAGCAGAAGTAGCAGCAGCGAAGCATAAGCAGAAGCAGAAACGGAAGAAGCAGCAGCAGAGGAGCAGAAGCAGAAGCACGAAGAAGCCAAGAAGAAGAGGAAAAGAAGAAGAAAAAGGAAAAAGAGGAGTGGGTGGAGTTGGTGGGTGGTGAGCAGGCGTGGGAGAAATCAGCGAGGGAAGGGGAAGAGAGAGAGAGAGAGAGAGAGAGAGAGAGAAGGGAAAGTGGGGTCAATCATTACCCCCAAAAATCTTCCAATTTCTTTTGAAATTTTTTTTAAATTTGTCCATCAAATTACCATTTTGTCCTCGATCCGAGCACCAAATTAACGGGCCGACTCATTCTTATTGGGCCTTGGTGGTCGACCCCCTCAAACACAAGGCCCAACGGGCTTTGCTTGGTTCACTTCCATTTCTCGCGTTGAATTTCCGATTCTTCAATCCTTTTCCAAAATTGAAATTTTCGATGGTTAATTCATAAAAATTACGAGGCGACGTCCTATGGTTCGGGTGTGAAATCCTTGAGCATTCGACACTCAAAATCGGATTATAATTCATGGCCGAAATCGATTAATCGCAACGATAGTTCATCGTGAACTAATAGGCGGCTGTTAGAAATAAATTCTTTGATAGTCATTCCCCTTTGATTAGTATTCCCTGAGTGATCAGGTCAGGACGAGAATTAACTAATAGAGCATCGACGAAATCTCCATTTCATAAGTCACCAAATTGGGTCGAATTTTCAGGATATCACAGCCAAGGAACCCGGTCACTAACACCGGGGTCTCAAGCTCGGATGCCCTACTTCCGAGCACGAGCATGGGCACTAGTCTTAAATCCACCAAACTTGAGACTGAGAACTCGATGTCGGTACCTAGCTCCCTGCCACCTAGGCCTGGTCTATATAGGTCGGGCCCAAGTCCTCGGCGCTCGGGCCTTTGTGGGATCAAGGCTCAAGATCATGGTGCCCGGGCCCAAGACCCGGCCCCTTGGCTTGGGTCAATCGAGCCCAGGCCTGAGACTCCAGTATCAGTGTTCGTGCCTTGGTCTATTGAGGTCGAGCCCAAACCAGTCCCCTATGCCTGAACCTAGATCCATCAAGGTAAGGCCCGGGATTTTGGCGTCCATGCACGAGTCCATCGAGACCAAGCCCCAGTCCTCGACGCCCAGCATCAATGGATCAGGGTGCAGGCATAGGGGACTCGAGAACGAGCACGAGATTCCTTGGCCCAACCTCAATAGACTTAGGCTCATAAGTCGGGACCTGAGCATGTGTTAGGGTATGAGGCCCGGCCTCAATAGACCTAGGCACAGGTGATGAGGACCCAGGCTCCGCCTTAAGATTACCAAGCTTGGCATCCCGAGCATGGGCATCAGTGTCCCAGGCCCAGTCTCGATGAACCCGAGCACAACAACCGAGGTCTCAGGTGCGGCCTAGATGGACATACTTGAGGGTGCCGGGGTCTCGGACCTAGTCTCGATGGACTCGGTCCTGCTGCCAAGGGTTCGGGAATGAGCGTTGGGATTTTCATGCCCAAGCACCTAGTTTCTGGTCCAAGCGGTCAATACCTAGTTATATCTTGGAAAATGATTTTTGATTTTTTAAAGAGGAAATCATTTTCCTGAATTTAAGCTTTGGTAGGAGAACATTTTTTATTGACTAGGAAAACATTAAAATATTTTCCATTGATTCATTTTCCTAAGCGATCCACACTTCGGAAAATGAGGAAAATGTTTTTGCAGAAAATGTTTTCCGCGAAACAAATGGAGCCTTAGACATTACAAACTTTCCCCGTTTGCGAAACAAACGCAAATGACATAATGGTTTCTTTTGCCTGACTCAAAATATTCTCTAAAAAGTGATTACATATTCTCAGATAGATATTTGGAAGGGACTTAGTATATATGGTGAGGCATAGTTGTGAGTTATTAGTGATGTTGGGGTTATGCGAAAAAACCGGGTATCTTTCCCAAAGGAATCATCAAGAAAGCCCACATTCGAATCCATCAACATATCCAATTGAAATCACTTTCATGTAAAACCTTAAACGAATGAGTTATGAACCAGTTATAATAATACTAACTGATCCACATATCACAGAATCCCAATGTGGGACTTTTTTCATCTAATATTCTCACATGTGCACCTTAACAAGTTAACTATCACACAATAAATTGTCTAAAAGGTCTTAAATCTATAACACTTTTATCAATTCAGTTCTAAACCTTTCAATTTTGCTAATTTAGTCCTAAACCTTTTCACATTTTGCCAATTGTGTCCATACGGCCAATTTTAGCTGGAAATCACTAACGTGGACGTTGTCCGCCCTATGTGGTATGACCGGCACTGACATGAATAATTTTTAATAATATTTTAAAATTTTTCTCAATTTTTTTATTTTTCCTTTTTTTCTTTTCTTTCTTTTTTTTTCCTTCTTCCTCCTCTGGCCGATAGTCGGCCATCGCCAATGCACAACGACTGGCTAGAGGAGGAAGAAGGAAAGAAAAAAAAGAAAGATAAGAAAAAAGAAAAAAAGGAAAAAGAAAATAATAAATAAATAATTCAAAAAAATAAAATAGTATGAAAATTTTTCTACGTCAGTGCCGGCCGGCTGGTCTACGTGATACGGTCGGCGTCCTCATAAGCTATTTCCTATCAAAATTGGCCGGATGGACTCAATTGGCATAAGATGAAAAAGTTTATGATTCCATTGGCAAAATTGAAAGGTTTACGATTCAATTGGCAAAAGTGCAATAGGTTTAGGACTTTTTGGATAATTTTCTCCATTGTCACACATTAGGTCAAATCGAAGGTTTTAAAAATTGAGAATGTAAAGTAATATGTAGGCAAAGGTAATAAGCGTATTTGGATATTTTTTATGTGTTATCCAAAATGGTGAAGTGCCAATGAAAGTGACTAATCATCCACCTTGACAGTATTGAATGTTGGCTCCACTATATGAAAAGGAGGAGAATCATTAAAAATCAGTACATGTATTTTAAGTAAATGTATGAGTAAGTTACTAACGAAAATTCTTTTTATTATGACAGAGAGGACCCACTCTATGCATAGGCCAATCTATCCTGCATTATGTCAAACTTATTTGTGCTTGACCATGCTAAATTATAGCTTTCCCCCCAACACACTCTTGGTCTCTTATCCGCCAACCCTAGGCCCAACAACGGTGATGACGCCATGCCTCAGACTGCCATCACTATCAATCGTCTCTTCGTCAATAGTTGAATTGCAGGAAGAATTATATATAGGCACGGACTTTTAAAGTCTTTTCAATATCCAAAAAAAGCTGGAATCATTGCTTTCGCATAGGCAAAGAGCCCACCTCTCTCACCAGACTCGTCCCTTGTTTTCTTGTATGGGAAACCCATTCTTTAATGAGAGAAAGAAAAGAGTTTTTGGAAAGCCTTTCTCAAACTCACCCCCGGAATAAATGTAATTAATGTGAGACCAAAGGGAGCCATACCAATACTGGCTTTAAAGCTATCATTGTAGGCAAACTTTGCAAAGTGGTAGGTAAGCATCCCAACTACATGGAAAATCATTAAACAAACTATTAGCATATCCTCTAATGTTTGTATAATTTGCTCAGATTGTCCATCTGTTTGTGGGTGGACGGTGCAGCGCTCCATGGATAGTGCTCAACCACTGGATCTCTCTCTCTCTCTCTCTCTCTCTCTCTCTCTCTCTCTCTCTCTCTCTCTCTCTGCTATTAGATGTAATGAACCAACCTAAAAAATGATGATCTCTCTTTTGTCTTTCATTATAGAGGTGACGAGGGTGAGGTCGAGCTCATCATGAAGGCAATGGCAACGAGGCTACTGATGTGATGATCAGACACAGAAATGATGCCAAAGGTCATGGTGCAAGTGGGAAAACAAAATAAATTGGTTTCCAGGCCAAACCCCCGAGGTAATGTTAATTCCCGAAACATCGGTAATAATATATCATGAGAAAAAGAACAGTCTTCCAAGTAATGTTAATCAAGCATAAGTGAGCAATACGTTTGTGCGAGAATAGAAAGTTTCTGAATGTGCACACGTGATAATAGATGAGCATCACTCTTGAAAAATGAATTTATTTTAGAGTGTACGAAATAAAAGTTATACAAACATATATATATATATATATATATATATATATATATGTTTATACGATAACGGCGCTCCCCGAACTTCACAGGTTTCTCGCCCCCAAGAACCTCGAGTCAACTGTGTGAGAGAGTACGATGTTTTCTCTTCTCTCTGTCCTCTCAAGTACAAAACCTGTCCACGTCGACTTCCTCGCACCGCTGTCTGTGACAAATGGGCCTCTCCTTGGGTCAATGAACTGACCTTCTATTGGGTGAAGAGTATCTGCTTCACCAACTCTGTTTTTCCCCTTAAAATACGAGGTTCCACTTGCCATTTGAGAGGAAAAGAAACCTCATCGTCCTCTTCTAATCAAGAGGAGCACCTTTCTAACAGTCCATCAATCATGGCAAGAGAATCTGCTTCACCAACTCTGTTTTTCCCCTTAAAATACGAGGTTCCACTTGCCATTTGAGAGAAAAAGAAACCTCATCGTCCTCTTCTAATCAAGAGAAGCACCTTTCTAACAGTCCATCAATCATGGCTCCAAGCAAGTAAGCATCTCATTCTTCTTCTTCTTCTTCTACTCTCTCTCTCTCTCTCCACTATTTCATACATTTGTGAGCTAGAATCATAAATTTCATTCCTCTTGTTCCAGCGACAAAGTATGTGAAGCATCTTGATTCATGATTTTACGAGATTGGTTATTTGACGGGAGTTTAGTTGTAGATCTAACCGATAGAGAAGGCAAGAAACCCTAAACGCCGAAAGGGAAGGGGGTGAGAAATGGGTAGAGGAAAGATCGTGCTAAAGAGAATCGACGACTCCATGAGCAGGCAAGTCACTTTCTCGAAGAGAAAAAAAGGGTTGCTCAAGAAGGCAAGGGAGCTTTCCATACTCTGCGATGCCGAGGTGGGAGTCATCGCCTTCTCTGGCACTGGAAAGCTTTACGATTTCGCAAGCTCTAGGTTAGATCTCTTCCTCATCTTTCCTTCCCTCAAAGTCAATCTCTTCTATTCTATGCTGAACATTTTTCCTTGAATAGTATCCAGTGGCTTCAGTTCTTTTTTAACATCATATTGGGGCTTTGATTTCTCGAGTTTTTGACAATGGGGATCCCAAAATATATTAGTGATAACAACATTGTTGATATGGATATTACTATTAGCCAAAGTTAAAAGAACCTTCTAATGTCATGACCCTAGGATTGTTCACTTCTCCATTTACATATACATACCTCTCCAGAGGAGGACATTGTTTTTCTTTTTTTCCTAATTCACTTTTGTCCTTTTTAGCTTTATTTGGAATTCACATTCATTTGTTTGTTTTCCTTATTTGAGACAAAAGACCTAAGATTGTCTTGGTATCTCCATTTTGGCAGCTCAAATGAGAATTAGGTCTTCCGAAGCAATCATGGATATGGCCTAGAAATTGTTTTGGGAAATATTGGCACCTTTGAAAATGACTTTAATCAAGCACATAATTTTTCGAGATTAATTTCTAGCAAAGATAACCAAAATATATTGCAAGTATATGCGTGAAAAGATGGATCCTCACCAAAACATGAACATACATTGACAACAAAGGATGAGTATGTTAATATCGAGCAGTGAATCCTCTTCTCAAACAAAAAAGACTACAGGAGGATAAAAGAGAGGACATATATGTATTAGAAACATTGACATAGATAGAGACTCTCTTAAAAGTCGAAACCCTAAATTTCCAACATGATACTCCCAAAATTATACAAGAATATCTAATATTTACAAAACCAACTTTGATTTTGAATTTGGTGTTCCCCCCCCCCCCCCCCCCTGAAAAATTCATATTTGACCCCTGATTAATTTCATTCTATGTTGCTAAATGAGGTTAGAATAGTATGTAAACTATAAGAAAATTCAGATTTATTCTATATATTAAATTCATTAATAGGTTTGCATTGTTGTTTTTTAATAGGGCAAAGGTATGAGCAAATTAATGTCTCCAACAGAAGCATAAGATGCTTTTGTTTGTCTTCATTGTAGTTTGGCATGCATGCATGATGCTAATACTGCTATTAAGGGAGAGATCACCTTTTGGTGTCTCTCACTACTTTTCAATTTAATTTCAATTTTAATTTTTAACCGGATAAAACATAAAAATTCAAATATATAGAGAAAACCATAAAAATCTCCGGTCTCTTGTGTAGATAACCACCTTCTCCTTCTTCCCTTGTCAACTTATCTATGAGGAAATTGTTGTTCCTTAACTTACACCATCTCCCTCATGAATCGTGTTCTCAACATCATATTTCAAAAAGAGCAATTTTTTTTTTCAAATATTAGCTCTAAAGGACAGACTATTAGTGTGCTATGAAGCAGCGGAGTATAAAGATGGGCGATGTGCCATGAAGCTGCTCACAATGCGAATTGCATGCTTGTACTTCTAAAAAAAACTAAAGATGTAATTATAGCAATATAACTCCAAATCATGCATGAAATGCCAAAGCCTAATTGTTTTGTGTTTATGGTAAATGGTGCTTCGTGAAACTGTTGAGTGTCAAGGAGTGAACCATATAAGCACTTATTAAGCATAGAACAATAGATAAAAGTGGGTAAATTTCATGTGGGATTGTGCTATGTGGCTCGACCATATTCAAGCTTTATCCAGTAATTGTATTGTCGTTGTTGTATTTGTTGTTGTTTAGCCTTTTCTAATGAAGCTAGAATATATAAATTGATGGATTTTTAATTCATTATTTGTAAATTTAAATTTCAAAAGATAGTAACTATCTAAAGAGGTGAGGATGACTAGAAATTGGTTTTTACATTATTCCCCTTTAATCGAGTGACATTATTTCATATACCTAATATTTCAGAATGAGATAGAAATTATGTATGTGTGAAGCGTGATACCTAACCTTATCTTTGGATAAGTTGATTTCATTAGTTTCATATTACATTTCTAATATGAATATAGGAGGTTAGGAGTATAGATGATTGTACCATGTGATAGATGTCAATAATCACCATTTTCAACAAATAAAGGCTATGGAAAATAAATAAAAATTAGTTTTGGTACACTGAAACAGGAGCACTATGGAAAATATACATAACTAAAACAGTTTTTGGATCGAGGGAGTTTACTTGTGGGATTGATAGATTTGATATTATTACAAAGACTAGGGTTTATTTTGATAAGTTTCAAAGGTGGGGATAAGTTAGAAAAAACGAATGAACGTAGGGATTTATTTTGCTGTTTTCGTTAATGCCAACCAATCTAAAAAGTTCAAGTTATTGAGTAAGGTGTGGTTCAATATTCCAAAGCAATGACATTCCAACTGTGCATAAGCTAAATTTACCTTGATATTGAAGCATGGAAATTGATAACCAGAGTGGAAAATAAAGGGTTTGGAAATATCGATGAACATAATGGAATCATTTCTCCACCACTAGAATTGGCCCTCTGTTGACGTACATGTATCATTTTTTATGTAGTTGGGGATGTAAAAACTGTAAAAAGAACAAGAAAGCAAGGCTAGAATGAGAAGAACTGAAGCGGCAACAGTAGTTTGACATTCTAGGGTTTAAAGAAAAAGGAAAGTGATTTGGGCTCCGTTTGTTTCGCTGAAAATAAATGATCTTGAAAACATTTTCCTAAAAATAATCATTTGGATTGCTTACAAAAATGAATGAATAAAATGTTTTCATCATCCACAAAAATATTTAGACAAATTATTGTCAATGATGAAAATTTTTCATTGACTAATCATTTCAAGCGATTATCTTTACAAAATTATTTTCCAAATCATTCATTTATCTGCAAAGCCATAAAGACCTATTTATATGAGATTATAGACATAAGACGAGTTCAAGCCTTAATAAAAATTAAGAAGACAAAAGTCCAAATGCTGTCACTTGTAGGTTTCCCAAGCCATTTCACCAAAAATCTCGACAAAAGTTGTATTCACATTCCACACATCTTCAATGGCATCTTTAAGGTTCTTCTGCAGTTGACTAACTTGATCATCAACTGCAGCAACTTTCTCTCAAAACCCTCAAGACCCTGTAAGTCAGAAACATTATATCAGGCATAGTCTGTAACTCGAATAGCAGCTCTGCAAAATGAGTAAAGCTTTCCTTCAACATTTTAGAAGGTCCAAACTTCGTCGACTTAAGTTCATTGTGTTCCCATCAAATGAACCGTACCGACTCTCCCTCCTCAAAATTGTTAGCCTTCATTGCTGCTATTACCTCCTTATAAACCCTTTGAATATGTTCTGCAAAAGCCTTATCATCACCGCTTACACTAGCCCCTTGTGAAAATAGAACAAGATCAAGCAGATGTTGAGGACTCAACCTATGCATATGCTCCAAATGGGGTCTTCTTTTTGCTTCCATTCACTAGTCTATAGGCAAATTACGCCTGAGCAATGATAAAAGCCCTATTCTCAACCCCATCATATTACCGTAGCTTTTGTTAACCATTTCTGTCTAAACTGGATGTTGAATCTCCTCCTCGAGGTCCAACAATGGTCTATGAGTTTCCCATCTTTATCAGCAAGTCAGAATGCCATGTGGCCTCGCAACTTCTGAAAAGAACAACTCAACGTCATCTGTCAGGGAATGGAGTATGCCTCTTTCAAAACAGTCAATCCACCACAACAAGAATGAGAATCAAACCCTCCATTGGCTATGGAAGTCCTAACATGAAATCCTTTTTTAAATGAACCGAAGGTGCTTCTGGTATTGCTGAATGCAGTTATTAAACTGTGTTCTTTCAGTTCAGCTGCCAAATTGACGAGACAAATACTCTCACCAATTTGCTCAGCTCTTGGTACATCGGCCAAAATGACAATCGGTTATCAGTTTCATGGTTTTATCCCCATTCAAATGTCATCTTAAGATTCTCTAATTAGCTGCTCGCATAAAGAACCTTCTGGACTACATAGCGAATTATCTTCGAATAAATAACCACCGTGCAACCAGAAGGTAAAACTTCTGCACTTTCTTCTTCTAATGACAATACGGATCAATGTGGTGCTCGTATTTTAGTTCTTCAAAGCTTATAACACGAGTGCTCAACATAATTAAATATGGGGATCTCTTGCTCAACTCTACGCATCTGCGAGATTCAATGCAACGTTAAATTAATTCAAACATGACCTCCAACTCCACATGTTTTTCAGTAATCTTCTTCTTGGAATTTAAGTATCCAAAAAAGTCCGACAGTCCCACCCGCCTGGGTGGCGCTGCTGGAGCGCGCACTCTTCCTCTCGCAAAAGGTTGAGTATTCGAATCCCGGGCGACGCAGGATGACTTAACCGGTAGCACGTGTGTGGTGGCTAGCACGTGTCGCCCCCAGGGTTTACTCCCCGGCTGTCGGCCGTGCGGGGGTTCCCTGAGTTACCAAAAAAAAAAAAAAAAGTCCGACAGTGCCCTGAGATGACAGACCTTGATGGGTACAACCATAGGGAAAACCCACAAGTCTCACACACGTCAATGGTGATTTCAGTTATAATGGTAACAACTTTCAATAGATATTTCAAAAGTCGACAAGGATTTTGGGGTTGACATGAGGGGACTTGAGCATTTGCACTATGCAGATACACCTCAACTTGTTTGTGCATTTATTTTACAATTTTGGAAGTAATACCATATAAAGTATTATGACAATGAAATATATCAGTCAATCTCTATCTATAAACTTCAACGTCGCAGTATGCAGTCAGTGCTACAACGTTACAAGGAGTTAAGGGAGGAAGGCGACCAACTACTTAATCCAGCTTCAGAAATAAAGGTAAGAATCCGAAATGACTACCTCTTTTTCTACATAGTTTGCACGGACACTTTAGATGTCTTTCACTTTCAAAAGACTCATTTTACACTAGAATTGCATCTGCATCCTGTGAAAACTTGGTCATTCCATTAATAATTTCACACTCTATGTTAAATATGTCTTGAGTTTGAGCCCATTGAACGAACCCGACCCGAATTGATTTTGTTTGTATAAGCGCGGTGCAAGAAAGTTGAAAATATAAAACTGCAGATTACGGATATTATCTGCGGTGCACGAGTTGTGATTTAAGGTAGTTTCCAGATTTAAGTTGGCGTTTGCGACTAGAAACTGGAAAGTCCAATATGGACTTTGAGTTAGACATTGACTCGGTCAATGTGTCAGACAAAGAAAGAAAGCAACGAAAAGATAAAAGAAGAAGAAGAAGAAAGTTGAGTTGGTTGACCGAATCCCAGTTGGATTCTATTTCCTTCTCCAACACAGTAGGTTATTTTTTATGACGATCCAAAGATTCATTAATCCCTGGCGGTGACTTATATATATATTCTCATGGGCTGTTCTGTGGACTACGAAGAAGTAGTCTTGAAGCACGATTTCTTGTGAGTGCCGTGGGAGTGCGAGTGACATCCATAGTTGCTGGGTGCTTGGCAGTAGGTTTATGATTTTGTTCGTAGAATTACACCAAGAGTTTGAGTGTTTGCAGTGATTAAATTGTTGTGTTAAGAATTTGTGTCAATTCCTTCGTGAGATTGAAAGATTATTTCGTGAGGAATTGTGAGGCTAAACACTGTGTGAGTTATTTGGTATAATTGGGGGCTTGGGAAACACTTAGGGCGTTTGAGTAACTCAAGTGAGGTTGTAATCTCCATTGTATCGCGTGATCTATAGTGGAATTTCGTGCTGCTCTCCCCGTGGACGTAGGTCATTATGACCAAATCACGTAAATTTAGTGTCCGATTTATTTTCTTATTCTGTTAATTTTATTGTTCGATTGCTTGGCTTCTACAACACTCTAGCTGTAAAAGTGCACCTGCATAATACCACACTTCATTGTCAAAATGTTTCACTTTATCATTTGAACAAGCAAAAAATGCATGAGAAATACTGTACCTAATGTGAACATGTTTTAGCACTAAAACTAAAGATTAGCTGCATATAAAACATTGACTATCCCAGAAAGTGGCAAGAGAGTTTTTGTGGAATGCAGCTTAAAGTAAAGTTTTTCTTCAAAGAACATAGTAACTAATGTAGCTGGAAAAATGACATTTGCTGCAACGATTGGAGATATAACAGTCCAGGTCCTATAAATAGTTCCACACAAGCTAAACATAGTATTGTTGTTTAAAATGTGTTTAAGCACGGTATACTACCAAATAACATCTCAATATGTTTTTCGCTGTTTATTTGCATAAGCTTTTACTATATATTTTAAGGATGATGACCAGAACTATTTTTTTAACCATAGCTGTTTTTAATAAACAAGGAGTGTGATCATTTGTGCGAGATTTTGTAAAACCTCTACCAACTGTTCTAAAAACTTAAGTTGTTAGATGAATACGTGGTTTAATATTCAAATATTCTATCACTCCCCTTCACGCTTAGTCTGGTTTTTTTGCCTAGTACTAAACATTGAAATATTTAGTTGGATAAGCAAATGTGATCCGAAAAGATTTGAACTCAGGACCTCTTGCTATAATATTATGTGAGATTACTACCAACTGTTTTAAAAACTTAAGCTGTTAGAAGAATGTGTGGTTTAATATTTAAATATTATATTAGTTTGGTTGGAAGAGGGAATGGGATTAACTCACTTGAAAGTCATCATTCAAGCTACTGCCAACCGTTTATTAAATATTTTTAATAAACAAGGAGTATGATCATTTGTGTGAGATTTTGTAGGACCACTATTAACTATTTTAAAAGCTTAAGCTCTTTAAATGTTATCATGTCAACAAAATCATATTGAAGGGTCAAGATCATCAAAGTTTGTACTCTCTCGCTCCTCATCACCCAACACCCAAATGGAAATGGCATAATTGAGCCGGTAACAATTCGGCTCAAGTTTTGCTAAGTAAGCAAGACACGTCATTAAAATCACACGACATGACCATTTATTAAAGGGATGTCTCATATAGACCCACATTTGAAAAGTTGAGGTACTTGCTTGAACAAAAGTCTAGGTAGTTGATCATAAATCAGACGAAAGTTCAAACATTTGTGTTGTCATTATCCCTTTCACACAAAGTGGAGAACTAGCAACAACGACGAAGACAAAAACTAGGTCTTCTCCCATTAAGTGAGGTCTGCAATAATTATTCTCACATGTCATTATGCATTCTGTGGACTTAAGTCTTATGTAAGGTTTAGGTACCCCAACTTTCTCCTCATTGTGTCTTCCATGTCCTTATAGGTTTTCTCTTGCCCTTACCAACTACTTATCCATCCTGTACTCACATCTTCTCACTGGAGGATCTGAAGGCCTTCCACGTTTCCAGTTAACCTCGATTGAGCTTTCCTCCTTTTACCTTTGATTGAGGTCGTACTCACCTTTCTTCAAATGTATTCATCTCTCTACTATTCAATTAGACCCTTGAGCGTGTGGTACAAATGTTGGCACGGGAGTTGGGCCTTGAACCATAATGCCAAAATCTCACATAGGATGGGAGAAGACTTAGGGCTCCAATTTACCCAACCCCACAGGCCACACTACTTGAGTACTTGTTTTGGGAGCTTGATACACATGCACCAGACCGACTTGTTAAAATGGTATCAAGCAATGCACTAGCAGGAAGTGTGTGAACTGGGGAGCATGTAGGAGAGTACTACGCCATAAGAGCCATCTCTAGATCCTGTTTGGAACAAAGTGTTACGTGGTAGGAGTCAACTCTTGAACCTACAGGCCACTTATAGAATCCTATGTAATTATTTTGGGGTTTGGTTAGACAGCCGACATTGCAAGGACACCGGTGATGTAATTAGGAAAGTTTATGAGGCTCCGATCTCACACCTGATGGTAGAGGACTTATTGATTGATTCTTAAGGAAATGACCCACCTCCAATGGCAACCAATTTAGTAATCCGTTTGTGGGCTTGGATTAGACCACGTGGGGACTGGACTAAGTCATTACATAAACTGTGCTATGACATATGCAAGAGCAAGGCATTGCTGCTAGAGCAAATTCTGCAAGTCCAGCGACATGAGATGGGCAAGCAGACAGGTTGTTTAAGAGTGAAGCATGCACCGGGCAATGACTAATTGGTGCAAAAGGGAAGGCTAGGCTACCTTACCCCTGGGCGGGTATGTATGTGCTAAACAGAGTAAAGCATGTCTATGACGGCAGCACGAGCTGACGGTGCAAAAGTCCTTCAATGCACAGGCTATTTGAAACAATCCGGCTGGAACCACATGAGCCAAATCCCTAAAAGACTAACTCAAATTGGTGGTGACCGTGGGGTAAGCTGCTGATTAAGTATCAGTGCAATTCACCTCTCACTGTGTGTACGACCGTGGTCTTACATTCTCCACCCCCACATATAGCAATAATGCCGACGTCAGTGTCGGCCCATCGAGTTCAACCCATTAAGCCCAAAACCATACAAGGAAGATATGACCACTCCCGCACTATGGCGGGTGTATTACTTTGATATCAATTGTTACAACCTGGCTTAAACAATGTGAGCTAAGCCCCAACAGGAGAACTCAAGGTGGTGGCGACCTTTGGGAGTGGGCCACTACTTATACATAGAGCATTAAACATTTCTCTCCTACTCTATGTGGGGCTTGGGGTGTAAAAGTTGTGGGAGAGGCCATGTGCACTCCAAGAGGGTTGTGAGCGGGCAACTGTGGGCTGTCTCACGGTTGGTTGAGCAAGGCACATGCTGCCTCATTCGAGATGATGCATAATCCGGTGCATAGGCTCATTCAAGAACAGAGTGGTTAGATCTATGAGCTAGTGGACTGGTTCATGAGTGTTCTAGGAGCATAACCTATGTGGATAAGCACAGTGCAAGAGCACTCACAGGTTGCACCGGCAAGGTGCATGTGCGTAGAACTATGAAACTGTAATAATTTGTAGGTTGTGCAGAAATATAGTGTTTGATATCGATGATAGTTTATGATTTGTGTTGTGTGCAAGTGTACGTGTGTATGATATAGTTGATGTAGGAATGGACAAGGGACAAGGGACAAAGTAGGATAGTTCAAGGATATAGGTCATAGGATAAAGGAAAATAGTTTCATTAATTGGACACAATAATTGTACAAATATAGTTGATGGAGGAGTATCGGTGGAGGAGCTAAAGATGTGAGTTTAGAAGCTAACTACCCACACATTCTTACATGAATGATACAAGCCTATTTATAGGCCATCTCAACCGACTCTAGAGGCTTCTGCTGACTCATATTCTTAACCTCTAAGTATACTTCTTTCCTAAGCACGTGTAGACTAGTTTGTTCTAGGATTTTCCAAGTTCTTGACTTTGTCCACCAATTTGGACTTTTGCTGCTTGCTTTTTCTTGCTGCTCACATCCTTCTAGAGTAGTCTAGATTGGACTACTTTCTTTGTCAAAAATAGATCACAATTTCCAATAGAAACATTGTGCAGTTTGAGCTTTCAAATATTTGATTGTGCGACATTATTAACAGGTAACTAAAAAGAGAAACTATGAAACATTGCAACACATATTATAATCTACATCATGATCAATAGCTAGTGTATTCCAACTTTTATGTTGCACATTTTTCGAGTGTACTTGCTTTGAAAACCCTACTTGCCGCAAATGCTTCACTGATCAAACACCAAATTCAATTTGGTGGAAACTGTCATAGTTAATTTAATCAGCACTCAATGAAGAAAAACTCACTTCGATATGCTTACATAGGAGTTCACCACCTCCAATAGAATCTCCAAAACTTCTACTTGGGAGTAAAATAGCCATAAAGCATCCATTAGAAATATATCATAGGCAGGTTCTTACCTTACAGACCCTGCCTGCAGTTGTACTAGTCTACTTAGTCTTAGGATCATCGGCTCCATCAGTCCTCATCAGTCATCATGGCCATTGAAATCCATGAAACGCTTTCAGAACTATCCCATTGTAAAACATGCACCACACTTATGCCTTACCATTCATTAGCGTTTCTGTCATGCTACTTCTATGATGTTCCCAGCATTGCCAAAGAGAGGTCGCAAGCTTAAGCCAACAGCTACAGCATCTGCAAGAGTGCCACAGGTACAGTAATTTTCCACTTGGTCATGAGTTTTTGGAGAAATGTACATAAATGCTGTAGAAGTGGACTTCCAAAAGGATTGAGGACTCTTCCAATTGTCTCATTGAATGATATTTAGCATGCTTACCTGAATTAAAATTTCTGTTCCAACTGTTGTGTCTATTAAAATTATCATCTTATAGATTGAGGAATATCAAGAATCAGCCATGGTGTCTAAGAATTCGTATAATTAGCTCCACTTAGTGCGAAAAAAAATGTATCTTGTTTGTAATTTATCAGCCAATTAGCCCCACGTGATGTCTAGTCTAGGAAATACATCCAAAACTTATCCATGTCCGAGGAGAGAACAAAATATATATGTCATCTTCTCAATCATGTACATTGAGACTACTTGCGTAAAGCAGATGAAACCTACGGTAGATAGTGCAACACAGTAATTGTTTCATAACCAAAGAAGGCAACAACTTCTCTTATAATCATTAAGCATAATCACTCAGCCAAGCATATTCTATCTACTTGATATGTCAATATTTCAAAATTGATGTGTCAATATTTCAAGAGAGCTACTAATGTCCAGGCAGAGGTAGCACAAAGTATTATTTTTGCGATTTAATGGATCTCTTAGTCTGTGAAGAACGTGTTTGTGGATTAGGCCCAACAAGTTTTTATTGGGAGAGGGGACAATAAATTCAGGGATTAATTTTGAAACCATCGCATTAGGGGTATACTTCTTCAATTTATTTTGGATGAGCTGCTAGGACAAAGAAATCCAGAAACTATCACATTTTGGGTACACTTTCTCAAATATTTTGGCTGAGCTGCCAGCAAAAAGAAATCCAGAAGGCTTCCTCGAGTTTTAACAATCTTGGGAAGCTAGACAAGGTCAAAAACTTTTAAAATGGCAAATTTCATTTATATAATCAGTAAAGTCGTTCAGAATTGCTAAAGCAACTCGTCATGATAGCTTCTAGATTTGAAAATGTGGCAAATTTTACATTAGAAAAATGTCTATTCACTTAACTAAAGGATTGGAAAGGGTGTTGGATGCCTCGTGATATGATAGCAGAATGTCAAGTATCTAGAGACATAAGAAGGTCTTCAAAATGTGGCAGGAAATTGATAAGTTTTCGAGTCTAGGCATGATATTTTCTCTTCAATCTGATGCATGCAGGCAAGTGATGGGAGAACAACTCACTGGCCTCAGTGCCAAAAATCTGCAAAATCTAGAAAACCAACTGGAGAAGAGCCTAAAGAGTGTTCGGGCCAAAAAGGTATTAGCTGAATATCTGCCTCAAACTGTCGAACTTTGTTTCTGTATTATTACCAGATCCAGCAAAAGACACACCGCTACCTCAATATATGCAAGGAATAATTCTGGTAATTCTTTCTCTGCAGAAGCAAATTTTCTCTGACGAGATAAAAGAGCTGAACTCAAAGGTTTTCACAAAACTGGCGACTTCATTCCAATTGTATGGTTATTAACTATCAAGTGACTCACATAAGCTTAATTCATTCCAGGGAAACGCGATACATCAGGAAAACATAGGGCTGCAAAAGAAGATAAGTCTCCTCCATCAGGAAAATAATGCATTGAGAAAGAAGGTAATCGTTCAGATGACAAGTGCATCTATTACATCTACTTAAACCATAATCAATCAATCACTCATTTGTTATTTTACTGACAAATTTCCTAATCCATAGGTTTATAAAGCAAGGGATGTGAATGAAGCTTACCAATATTCCCATGAACCATCAAATAGGACCATAGTACATGACTTGTTTGCACCTTCAAACCTCCAGCCAAGCCAGCCACAACCTCAAAGTAAATGAAGCCTGTCTAGAAGCAACCAATCTGGGGTAAATTTCCAACTCAATTATTTTGAAGAACATATTTTATATCAAGGTCATAATTGTCACACAACAGATCTGATTAAGCACAGTGAACCAGATTGCAACTGCATTAGCACAAGTTGGACAGTGGATGATTATCAACCGTATTGTGTTGAAAGCTTGAAGACAGTTAAAAAGCTCAAGCTTCTACAAGTGTTGAGTTCTCTTCAGACAACAAATTTGTATATCCAGCGGAAAGACCTCAAGATATGGTATCTCATGTCTAAAACTCAAAACCGTTGTGCAATGGGACACTTTATCTTTGTAAATGAAAACATGTCAATAAATAACAAAAGCAAGACAACATGCCAAAAGGTATTCACCATCATCGGCTAAGTTGTCCTCTTCGTTCGACCAACATCTGTTAAAAGGTTTGCACTGCCAATTCTACTCTAATCATAGTCTTGATCGCTGCTTTTCTTCCAAAAGTGTGACCTCTACAGCTTCTGAACAACTTAAAATTTTGCAAACTATTGCAGATTATAGTTCGAAATCCACACATTATGTGTCTGAGAAAGGTTCTATAAAGATGGACCTCTTTATTGCTATGTGTCATATAAACACGAAGAATGAAGAGATACGAAAAGAAGATCATACATCGAAGAGGTCGTTCAGCTTCCTTTTGCGACAAAGCACGCACTATATTCATAGATAAATTTGCAACCATATGTACACAACCGGACAACCTCGCACAGTCGATAAGCATATAGGAAAAGCTGCTTAAAATTGAAAATCCAAGCCAGCACGCCGATTTTGAGTATCCGTTGTCTTGTAATGCAATGGATAGGATGATACATTGTGTAGACATAGAAGATAGACCAAATAAACATTGTATCTAATCATGCATGAAGTGACAGGCAGGTGGGAAAATCGATTAAGCTTCCTCTAAATTTGGCTAAAGTCGAGCAACATAATTGCATGTCAATGACAAATACATCCATCTCTTTCAAAGCCATATTAGATACAGAGCAAGCATGTGACCATCCGCATGAACTTCACTTTTTATGTCCTGATTGGTTTGATATCATCATTCCTTACCCTTTTAGGAGTCTTCATCTAAATTACCTTCCTTTGACATGCACAACAACACTACGGACAGATCATCAATTGGGATGATTACGAATTCATTTTTCATGCAGTTTCATTTCCTAATACGAAGTTGTCATGCCCCGAACCCCAACGAGCTCGCGACATCCCCTGCTCCGGTCGAAATGATGCGACGTCCCAGGAACGTCGCCGACCCAACCCAAACATCAGAGCCACATGCGGAAGCGAATAACAAAACCCCGGACAAATAATGACGACAACGGGGTAGAACAACAGAACAATCCAGCAACCACATATTCATACAACACCAAATATACATACATCATATTACAGGCATAATTAACAAACTAGCATCCGAAATCACCGTCAACAAAATATCAGGGTCTGGTTAACTTAACTTCCCTATGGGTCAACCCGATTTACACAACCCCCAAAAATCTTAAGGAAAAACCTAAGGATCGCCCTCCTCCAGTCTGCTTCTGAATCTCTGGCTCGAATTTCTGGAACTCACCTGCAGCTCCACTGGGCACCAACAGTAGCTCCCCGGACTTCCAAAAAGAAAAGGCGCACTTCCCGGGTTTAGGGCCGGGGGTCTGAAAGTGGCGGTTATACAACCGTGAGACGAATCTCAATAAGTGTACAACCCCAAACCCCACGTAGGCACTCACGTACCGCCAGACGAAAACACACATAACACACAACGATCGGCCAAACTAACAATCACATGCGACCCTACCTGGAATCCATCACGCACGTTCCTGCACGTTAGACAATAACACAGCCAACACATCACAGCAAGGAATCACAGACGCGCGCGTGCCTCAATTATAAGACAGAACCCACTTGGGCACGTCCCATACCGTGCCTAGCAGTTTCTACCCCATAATTAAGCATCACATCGCGCGATACAAACACACTCGCACGCTACTCACACCATGCGTCACTTTCTACAATCCTCTCGCTTGTCTTGCCAAATCTCACTCATTTTCAACCTTTCCACCACTACCGCGCCAGCGTAAAACGCATCAGGCCAACGGTCTTCGACCTCGTCGGGCATCGTCACCCCGTCGGGCCGGGCATCGTCACCTCGTCGGGGGCGGCATCGTCCCGCGTAAACGTACACGCCTCGGGACGGAATCCTACACACACTTTCCTTCTACCGCGCCCGCGTAAAACGCATCGGCCAACGGTCTTCGACCACGTCGAGGCATCGACACCTCGTCGGGCCGGGCATCGTCACCTCGTCGGGGACGGCATCGTCCCGCGTAAACGTACACGCCTCAGGACGGATCCTTTCCAACCAATCTCACATTTCCATATCCTCGTTCCACTCAAACCACACTTACACACAACCAGCACACGCACGGCCAAACATACACGCCTCACACATACATAGCCACGCACCAAATTCACATCTCACGTACACTTCACAAACACGCATTCTCATCACACGAACACCACATGATCACCCACACTCGGCACACGAACTCAATGCACATTCACATGTCCACGCCACCACACCTCACGGCCACACACACGGCATAGCACCACATCACATTCGGCCCAAGCACAAACTAGAACAAGCCAATGACAGCAAACTACACAATTAATCCGATAAACCCAATCAAGCCAATACATTTCCAATTAATCACCCATTTAATTCCCGATCGATCCTCGACATCACAGCCCTAACTCAGCATTCCTAAACCTCGAATTTCGTCGCCCAATCAGCCCACAATCTCCAAACATTCAACCCCTAACTTAGTCCCGAAGACAGCCACGAAACAGCCACAAACAGTCCCTAAAATCACTTAAACCAAACTTCAAACGAGTCTAGAAAAACCCGAGGTCCTAAATGACATTTGGGGAAAACACTTACCCAAAAAGGTGTCACGCCCCGAACCCCAACGAGCTCGCGACATCCCCTGCTCCGGTCGAAATGATGCGACGTCCCAGGAACGTCGCCGACCCAACCCAAACATCAGAGCCACATGCGGAAGCGAATAACAAAACCCCGGACAAATAATGACGACAACGGGGTAGAACAACAGAACAATCCAGCAACCACATATTCATACAACACCAAATATACAAACATCATATTACAGACATAAATATAGACTAACATCCTCAGTCACCGTTTAAACAAAAGTTCAGGGGTTTGGTTATCTTAACTTCACTATCGGATAACCCAAGTTATACAACCCCTAAAACACCCTAGGGAAAAACCTAAGGGTCGCCCTCCTCCAGTCTGCTTCTGAATCTCTGGCTTGAATCTCTGGAACTCACCTACAGCTCCACTGGGCACCAACAGTAGCTCCCCGGACTTCCAAAAGAAAAGGCGCACTTCCTGGGTTTAGGGCCGGGGGTCTGAAAGTGGCGGTTATACAACCGTGAGACGAATCTCAATAAGTGTACAACCCCAAACCCCACGTAGGCACTCACGTACCGCCAGACGAAAACACACATAACACACAACGATTGGCCAAACTAACAATCACATGCAACCCTACCTAGAATCCATCACGCACGTTCCTGCACGTTAGTCAACCACACAGCCAGTATGCCACAAAAATACATCACAGCCGCGCGCGTGCCCCGATTATAGAGCAAAACCCACTTGGGCACGTCCTATATCATGCCTAGCAGTTTTTACCCCATAATCGAGCATCACATCACGCGATACAAACACATTCGCACGCTACTCACACCATGCGTCACTTTCCACAATCCTCTCGCTTGTCTTTCCAAATCCCACTCATTCTCAACCTTTCCACCACTACCGCGCCCGCGTAAAATGCATCAGGCCAACGGTCTTCTGACCTCGTCAGGCATCGTCACCCCGTCGGGCCGGGCATCGTCACCTCGTCAGGGACGGCATCGTCCCGCGTAAACGTACACGCCTCAGGACGGAATTCTACACACACTTTCCTTCTACCGCGCCCGCGTAAAACGCATCAGGCCAACGGTCTTCTGACCACGTCAGGCATCGACACCCCGTCGGGCCGGGCATCGTCACCTCGTCAGGGACGGCATCGTCCCGCGTAAACGTACACGCCTCAGGACGGACCTTTCCAACCAAACCACATTTTCATATCCTCGTTCCACTCAAACCACACTTACGCACGACCAGTACTCGCACGGCCAAACACAATTCCACATTGCATGCACATTTCACAATTCACATACACTTTGCAAATATACATTCTCACCACGCCAGCACACCACACTTTCATACACATATAACACGCGATCCCGAAGCACTATCACACATTCTTGGCACGCGAACATATTGTGCAATCGTACTGCCACACCATCACACCTCACGGCCACACACACGGCATAGCACCACATCACATTCGGCCCAAGCACAAACTAGAACAAGCCAATGACAACAAACTACACAATTAATCCGATAAACCCAATCAAGCCAATACATTTCCAATTAATCACACCATTCAACCCCGATCGATCCTCAACATCACAGTCCTAACCGAGCCTCCTAAACCTCGAATTTCCCTTGCCAATCAGTCCACAATCATCTAAACAACCAGCCATTAAACACAATTCACACAACCACGCACAAATTTCAATTCAAGGCACAATCCCATCAATTAATCGCACAATTCAGCCGCGACCATTTCGCATCACCTCGGCTCCATCCAAGCCTACCAAACCATGCATTTTCAATCTCCCAAATCAGTCCATAACCTCCGAACAGCCAGCCCCGTTCTTAGCCTAAAACAGCCAAAATTTCGCCTAAATCAAGTCCTAAACGAGCCTAGAAATACCCGAGGTCCTAAATGACATTTGGGGAAAACACTTACCCAAAAAGGCGAGACAGAACGGGGCTGGAACGGGCCGGACACGGCGGCTCAATGAGGCGGCGTCGCCGGCGATGTACGGACGGCGT